ATTCCTGCTCAGTCAGCTGTGCTCAGGGAGAGTGTGCAGACGAAGCCCTGACTGTGTAGAGTGCTGTCAAGAACTCCCTGCAAGGACAATTAAAAAAAAAAAGGGCCTCTAAGGCAAATACAAGATAAATCAGTACACTGCTTTGCTTCTGCTGCATGGTTCTAAAGTTAGTTGTGGGAAGGGGCATTATTGTCATTAACTGCAGCAATTTTAATGAAGCTTAAGCAGTAGTTCAATCCCAGCAAACTCTCAGACATCATAAGGATGTCTAATAGAGGTGTGAGTCAGATGTTGAAAAGTGTAACCAGAATGAAAGTTTTCGAGGCGTCTTTACAACTCCACACACCCCAGAATTCATGAACATGCATTAAGACAGTGACAATACTAGTGACTGGAGTAAAACTACACTGTGTACACAATTTTTAGGCAAGTGAGTATTTTGACCATATCATTTTTATGCTTATTTTCCAAGCTCTGTAAACTTGAATGTTTATTGGATTTAAGCATATCAGGTGATGTGTATTTGTGTAATAAGGGAGGGTGTGGCCTAAGGAGATCAACACACTATATCAAGGTGTGCATAATCATTAGGCAGCTTCTTTTCCTCAGGCAAAATGGGCCAAAACAAAGAGTCTTTCAGAGGGATGCAGCACTCTTGAAATTACTAAGATATTGGGGCGTGATCGCAGAACCATCAAACATTTTGTTGCAAATAGTCAACAGGGTCGCAAGAAATGTGTTGAGGAAACACATGAACTGCCAACGATTTGAGAAGAAGCAAAGATGAAGCTACCAGGAACCCATCATATTCCAGAACTGTAACCTACCTGGACTGCCCAGAAGTCCAAGGTGTGCAGTGCTCAGAGACATGGCCAAGGTCAGGAAGGCTGAAACCCGACCGCCACTGAAAAAGACACACAAGTTGAGATGTCAAAACTGGGCCAAGAAATATCTGAAGACAGATTTTTCAAAGGTTTTATGAGGGTGACTTGACAGACCAGATGGATGGGACCGTGGCTGGATCACTAACGGGCACAGAGCTCCACTTTGAATCAGACGCCAGCGAGGTGGAGGTGGGGTATGGCTATCGGCTGGTATTATTAAAAATGAGTTAGTTGGACCTTTTTGGATCAAAATCAACTCCCAAACCTGCTGCTAGTTTTTAGAAGATACATTCATCAAGCAGTGGTACAGGAAAAAGTCTGCATCTTTCAAGAAGAACATGATTTTTATGCAGGACAATGCTCCATCGCATGCATCGAGGTACTCCACTGCGTGGCCAGCCAGTAAAGGCCTTAAAGATAAAAGATTAATGACATGGTCCCCTTCCTCACCTAAACCCTATCGAGAACTTGTGGGCCCTTAAACGGGAGATTTCCAGTGAAGGAAAACGGTACACCTCTCTGAGCAGTGTCCACGAGGCTGTGTTTGCTGCTGCACAAAAAGATGATTGTCAACAGATCAAGGAACTGACAGACTCCATGAATGGAAGGCTCATGACTGTTATTGAAAAGAAGGGTGGGTGTATTGGTCACTGATTTAGTTTTTGTTTTTTATGTCAGAAATGTTTATTTGTACATTTTGAGTTGTTTATTATTCTCACTTGAACAGATGAAAATAAACAAGTGAGATGGGAAAATTTTCATTTTTCACTTAGTTGCATAATAATTCTGCACACTAACAGTTGCCCAATAATTGTGCAAACATAGACATTCTACGAAAGCCAAAACCTCACTTTTACTTTCTTAAATATTCAGGTTTGACTTTTATTAACATTTTGGATTGATCAAGAAAACTGTATTTTTTCAGTAATAAAATTAATCCTAAAAAATACAACTTTCCTAATAATTGTGCGCACAGTGTGATGTCAACAGCAGCATACATTTGCAAAATATCGTCAGTAGAGGTTCAGCATCTGGACGTCTTTTGGGGACCTACACTGGAGGTCAGTAGCCATCCAGCACAGGTCCAGAACATGTGCCAATGGTTGCATTGTACATTCATTCATTCTGAACCTCGTGACAGGCGTCCAAATTGAACATACAGAAGACGTCCAAAAAAGATGGCACAAACTTTTATTTTGACTACTCAGTGGACCGCTTTTCAATGTTTGACACAGACCTCAGTTAGATGTCTTTGGCATATGTATGTCCACAGCTGTAGAAAGGTGGTCCATGCCAGACATCAAATTACTGAACTTGTCTTAGATGTCCAAAGTGAGTCATATGCAGATATTGGGATTTGAACCTCTACCATGCATCTCATATACATGCAAAAAAAGGACTTGGACCAACCAATGTGATATAGACATCACATGCATGTCCCTCCGATGTTAGGTCTTTGCCGGGATAAGGAAGATCTCTTCCCTTACATTCTGCTTGGCCACAGCTGGGTTGATATGAGCTGTTAATTTCAGATCAGTTTCTCTCCCTCCACCTTCTATCCTGTCTCCATCTTATCTAACTAGTAATCTTTATGCCTGTGTTGCCACTAGCTGCCATTCCTTAAATAGAGTATAATTTCAGTTCATCCCACATGTCTTTCAAACCTGTAATTGGGCAACCCACCTCCTCCCCAACACCAACATAACCTCCATGCTGTCCAAGATCGCATTCAGCCTTCCCATGTTGCTCAGCGCTCCTCTCCTCTCCTCTCTTCATTCTTCAGGTATTTATGTACCACTGTCACATATCGAACTTTGTGTCTCCTTTCTCCCATTATTTGTCCTCGCTCTCTCCCTTGTACGGTGATGAGTAACAAATGAAAGCATCACATCATGCTCTGGGGATCCCTTGTGGTGTCTTGACTTATTTATTTTAGAGTTCAGTTCAATTCTGTTTTATTTTTGTAGCACCAATTCACAACAACAATCATCCCAGGTCACTTTAGATAGTAAGGTCTAGACATGACATTATTATAATGAAAACCCAAAAGAAATGTCTTTGAGCAGCACTTGGTGACAGTGGGAGGAAAAACTCCCTCTAACAGAAGAAACCTCCGACAGACCCTGGCTCTTGGTGGGCGGCCTTCTGCCTCGACCAGTTGTGGGAGAATGAAAAAAAGAAAAGCAACAAGACAACAAAAAATCAAACACTAGTCAGGTTGATGTTGCCTGCGTCCTCTTCTCATACTCTCCTCTCCTCTCTTCATTCTTCAGGTATTTATGTACCACTGTCACATATCGAACTTTGTGTCTCCTTTCTCCCATTATTTGTCCTCGCTCTCTCCCTTGTACGGTGATGAGTAACAAATGAAAGCATCACATCATGCTCTGGGGATCCCTTGTGGTGTCTTGACTTATTTATTTTAGAGTTCAGTTCAATTCTGTTTTATTTTTGTAGCACCAATTCACAACAACAATCATCCCAGGTCACTTTAGATAGTAAGGTCTAGACATGACATTATTATAATGAAAACCCAAAAGAAATGTCTTTGAGCAGCACTTGGTGACAGTGGGAGGAAAAACTCCCTCTAACAGAAGAAACCTCCGACAGACCCTGGCTCTTGGTGGGCGGCCTTCTGCCTCGACCAGTTGTGGGAGAATGAAAAAAAGAAAAGCAACAAGACAACAAACAATCAAACACTAGTCAGGTTGATGTGGCCGGTGACTGCTCATCAGAAACACAGAGCTCCAGAGCCAGGGCAACCTGCAGAAAGGTACAGGGGGAGAGATAGGACACACTACGGGAGAGAGGAGACATACAGTTAATGACATGTAATGATGGCATAACAATAAAATGGAGAGGAGAGGCGCTCTGCATCATGGGATGACTCTCAGTCTAGGCCTACAACTAAGGGATGGCCCTTCAAACCAAACTTATCCTAGAATGCATGCCCAATAATATCATAGACACAACTATATGGGCCCAAGCGAAAGCCGTCCTGTTGACTAGAAACACCCGGGTCGGTTAAATATACTCAGTGGCAACAAGACAGCCCAGGCCCCGTTTGCTTGTGGTTAACAAGATGGCTGTCAGTCTTATCCCAGTTCAGACACATTAGTTGTTATGATGCCATGAAATATCGAAAGACATATCACAAGTACCTTTCTACCCTCACTCACTGTCCTATTGGGATTCATCCATCCATTATTTAATCCATTTATTCCTGAATAGGGTCACGGGAAGCTGGAGCCAATCCCAGCTAACACTGGGTGAGAGGTGGGGGCTCAAACCCAGATCCTTCTTGCTATGAGGCAACAGCACTAACCCCTACCCTATTCAGGAATAAGCAGTATAAATAATAGATGGATATTATATCCACCTAACTATAAGCTCTATCAAAAGGAAAAGTCTTAAATCTAATCTTAAAGGTAGAGAGGGTGTCCGCCTCCCGAACTGAGACTGGGAGTTGATTCCATAGGAGAGGAGCTTGATAGCTAAAGGCTCTGCCTCCCATTCTACTTCTGTGGATTCTCGGAACCACAAGTAAACCGAACTCTGAGAGCAAAGTGCTCTGTTAGGATGATAAGGCTCTATGAGGTCTTTAAGATACGATGGAGCCTTGTCATTAAGGGCTTTGTATGTTAGGAGAAGGATTTTAAATTCTATTCTGAATTTTACAGGGAGCCAGTGGAGAGAAGCTAATATGGGAGAGATATGCTCTCTCTTGCTAGTTCCTGTCAGTACTCTGGCTGCAGCATTTTGGATTAACTGGAGGCATTTTAGGGAACTATTGGGACATCCTGATAGTAAAGAGTTAAAGTAGTCCAGCCTGGAAGTAACAAATGCAGTTTTTCAGCATCACTTTGAGACAGGATGCTCCTGATTCTAGTGATGTTGTCCAGG